TATATATATATATATAATGGACAATACCGATAAAATATTATTAAATTTTTTCCATTTGGGATAAAAGCATAATTTATCCATTTTAATTTCTTTATTTCTTAACACTGACAAACTGATTCCGCTCTACACAGCTCTACACTGACTTATTTCAAACAGCTGTTGGGTTGTCCTCTTAACACAACCTTTGACAAGTGAAACCCGCAAACTCAAGTGCATCTTGTCAAACAAAAACATGGCGAGAAATAAAAATAGTAAAGTACACCTCCCTCCAAGCGTCAAAATATAGAGAGGAAGTTGACAGAAACACTAAATGGAACTTCAGCTGTCTTCTCTTTAAATAAAATAGAAAGCCTGGATGAGCTCCTTCCTGTGAAGCACTTGTGGTGAAAATTTATCCCACATAAACAATCCCTCACATGTTTATGCTAATTCCCAGTTTCCGTTTTTCAGGAACTGTCATTCTACACTGTAACACTAGCCACCGATTCTTTGTCTGCTTAATAAGCATCTCCTCAAAATCAATTCTCCAGGGCTCCCATCTAAATAAAGACCGAAGATACAGGATTTTCTCTGCGGAATGGAGCCGCGTTTGTGGCCTATGAAATGCAATACTTGTTTATTTCAAATTGTTTTGAGTGTTGTTCAAGATAATTTGTTTCATAATCTCTTTGGATATAAAACAAAATTAAAAGATCCAACCAAACCAAAGGGATTTTAAAATTGAATACAAAGTTTCATATCATTTTATAGTTATGATCACCATAGTTTGTAAAAAAAACAAAAAAAACAACAACTTTAAATGGCTTTCTTTGATGGTACTAAGTGTGTTCGACTGACCTCCTTCTGCAGTTCGCCCCATGGCCCACTCTGACAGGGTACTGCCAGCCATGTTAAATGTGAGCACTCTGAAGCGGTAGGTGGAAAAGGATTCTAGATTGGACACAACCGTACTGCTCTCAGGCGGGGTTAGAGCATTCTCATTGGCCGAGCTCAACGACCGCCGCGGGTTCTGCCAGCCACTACTGAGGAAAACCCTTTGCTCTGGACCGTAACTGGTGGCGTTTCTCTGCGACTCATTCTGCAGCTGCATAAAAAGCTCATACCTGATAATTATGCCTGGAGAGAGAAAGAAAGAGAGATGAAACATACATATGCCAATACCTTCTTCCGCAATTCCTTATTAAGCCTCATACAGAAGCAGATGATATTGAGATGTAAGACTGGCCATTGACAATACACAATTACAGCTGCTGCATGAAATGATGTAGAAAAGAGAGGCAGACAGATAGAATCAGATAGACACAATTAAACGGAGAGGAAATTCATTGAGAGAATCCTCTAAGGGCACTTTATAATGGTCCATGTTAATGAGCTAATTTGGCAAAAAGCATGATAACTGGCATTAAAAGTCATTGATATACAGACGCTTTCAATGGCGCGAGGCACAATCCATAATTGTATGCAGCAATCAACTGTTTTAAATGTGAAATGTTTCTTTGCGGCATGCAATCCCATCAGTTTATATTGCGAAATGAAGCATGGGCTGAGCCTTAATCAAGCCTCTTGTTGTAGATTAAAGTTCGTAAGGAATTAATTTTCATCCCGTCTGAGATCAAATGGCATCTCTATAATAGTATTTCTCATTATTGTAATGATGTTGCTGGAGACGGCTAAAAAGGAAGCTACAGCAGAATGGAAGAGCATTTAAGAATCACTATTAAATAAAATCATGTCTAACAATATTACTACTCCCTCTAAATAATAAAGGAGAGTAAAATTTGGGGACTGATCTGAATATTTAAATGAAAAAGACAACGTTACTTTCAACAAGTTAAATGTCCTAGTACAGTATCAGCGCGGGGTTAGAAGGTCAAAAGCTGATTATTTTAATTCAAGGTCTGGTGGAAGACAAAAACGGATACAAAATGGAAAAAAATACCACAAAAATATGTAAAAATCAGGGGTAGCGATTACAACAAGAAAATATACCCTATGAATATTTGAAACTGTTTGGATATTCCAGTGGTTCTCAACCAGGAGGCGGGGGCCCACTGGGGGCCTCATCAAACAAGGGAGTCGCAGGATGACTTAAAATGATTTAATTAAAATGTAAAAAAATAAATAACGCATCAAAATTAGGTGTAAATTTTATATTTATCTCTTTTTTCTATTTTCCCCTCAAAAACTATTGTTTTATTAAAGTACAAACTGTTCATCTGGGATCAAAAATAATTGTAATTAATTTATTTAATATATTGACTATTTCCGGTTTCAAAAAAGTTTGTTGTTTGTCGTAATTACAGCAGCACATACCGAAATATTTAGAATATTATCATAGCTTACATGAGGGGCCCACAGATATTGTGTTAGATTTCATTATCTTTTTTCAAAGTGTCCCTGTCAAAAATCATCTAAAATAGCAAAAAATGCTATCAAAAAAAAAAATAAGAATACAAATTTGTCAATACCATTAGGTAACACTGGCGGTTCCCAGTCCACTTGGAGTTGAGAGGACCCTATGGTTGTGATTGTGGGTGCAGGCTGCTGCTGAGGAGGTATCTGAGCGGTAAGTATGATCAGACTCTCGCTGCGAGCGCAGCCTCCGTTAGTGCAAGCCTGCAGACTGAAGTTGTATCCAGTGAAGGGTTGCAGCTCCTCAGCGGTAGCCTCTGTTTGAAGTCCTGTGTAGTGGATCCTCTCTTCTCCGGTCAGATCCTGTATCGAGCTCAGGGTATAGCTGTCCACTGGACCAGTGGTGTTCAAATGCTCTGTCCAGTTAAAGGAGGCGCTGGTGGGCTTGGCTCGACCCACAAGGGTTAATTGGAGTTCCTCTTGCTCAGGTACAGCAGACAGGGTGCGTAAGCTGACCGTGGCACTGCTGGTGTTAGCACGGATATTGCTAGTGATGAGCTGGTAAGAATATGCCGTGTAAGGAGACAAATCAGCATCTGTGTAATGCATAGTTCCTGTATGAGAAAGAGAACATCAAAGCTATCAAACGAATTGTGGTACTGATGACAATATGTTAATTGTCAATTCATTAACAATAATGTTCAAAATTTGGGGGTCAGTAAGATTAAAACATATATATTTTATGCTCACCAAAGTTGCATTTATTTGATAAAAAATACAGTAAAAACATTAATATTGTGCAATATTATTATAATTTAAAAAAACTGTTTTCTATTTAATGTTTTGAATGCAATTAATTCTCACTGTAATATGCTGAGTTGATGCTCACGAAACATTTCTTTTTATTATCAATTTTGAAAAAAGTTGCTGCTTAATATTTTGTGGAAACTGTGATACTTTTTTTCAGGATACTTTGATGAATACTTCAAACGAACAGCAATTATTTGTAATAGAAATTTTCTGTAATGTTATAAATGTCTACTCTCACTTTTGAATTTAATGCATATTTGCTGAATATTAATTTTATATTAATTTTAATTTAAACCACAACCACAACAGTAGTGTATATGAGTGTTCACAAAAAAAAAGAAACATTAATTAAAAAAAATCACTTTTTAATGCACATGTGCCATGTTCTTAGAAATGTACTCTTTGTATTTATGTTTATTATTGTAGTTTTGAAAAACTTTCATACGTTTATTTTAAGTTTCAATTTAATGACATTTTTTCAAATGTCATGAGGTGTCATCAAGTAATGAGTAATAAAATATTTTCCCCACACTTTGAATGTGAGTGGACACATTTTAGTCATAATTTTTTAAATATTTATTAATTTTTTTGAACAAATATCATTAATAATTAATAAAAATCATTATAAGTAATAAAATATTTTCCCCACACTTTGAATGTGAGTGGACACATTTTAGTCATAATTTTTTAAATATTTATAAATTTTTTTGAACAAATATCATTAATAATTAATAAAAATCATTATGTTTTTTGGGAGTCTCACCACATGACATTTTTCAACTTGAACTAATCTTTCCTTCTCACAAAAAGGTCAAATTAACACAGTAATGAGGGTCTGCAGGAGTCGTTTCCATGATATAATTTTTTCTATCACTATTATTGTGTCACAGTTGTTTAGGACATCATTGTTTATGACATTATAGTAGGCCTGGGCGATAAAATGGTATCGATATTTATCGACGATACACCTTCGATATCGATAGAAAAATTGTTCGACATAGCGCACGTTATAGGCACGTACTATGAGTGACGCAGACAGCACACACAAACTGCCTGTGATGAGGAGATTGTAAATAAAGAATGAATATTAGTCGAATTTAAAATAAACATTTGCATTTGAATGTTAGGTGTGCATCAGGGAGCGTCATCAGTGGCGCGTGAGATGCGGTGAAGATGTAAGACGTTGATGACGTTGTTGCATTTTAATGTTTTGTTAGTCTAGCTCTAGCCCACGAGATGCGCCGCTGCTGCGTTCATTCAAAATATTAAAGAAATATAGAAGCTCAATGCGGAGAAGATCTTGATTAGGTTAAAACCGAAAC